ACGCTTAACACCGATAAACATAATCGAATCAGATGCAGTCGGGCCGACGATTCAATTATTTCCGTGATTTTCAATTAAAACTATTGCGGTCCCATATCCATCATTATTATACGCCGCAATTCAAAAACCGACAAATATATTTTGCTTATTATGAAACATTCTTTGGTTGAATTAATTAATTTCACGTTTGGAAAAATAGTTTTATTCATTTTGTATCTTTTAGCTATTGAATATTACATTGCTAAAATGACTTTCTAGATAAAAAAAAAATAAAGATTTGTTGTGTGACGTTTTACAGCTTCAGAAAGTTAAGCAAAAGTATAATCAGATGTGTGAATTGTTTTCATTTTGTTATGCACAAATATAAAAGCTACATTTTTATGTTTTAAAATTAAATACATCCACACAATATTTAAGACTAAATTATTTAGGTATAGAAAGCGTTGTTTACAGACCTTTTGTAATTAATTTATTGGTAAATAGTAAATCAATCAAATTTGCATATGAATAATGGTTTTTCTATTTATTTCAATTTAAAACATTTCTAACAATTAACTGAAGTAATTAATTTAAAATTTTAAAATTATAATTAAATTGTATATTAACAATTAAAGTCGTAATTACAAAATATTAATAATTACAGCGCCAAAACTACTGTACTATAAACTTGATCAACAAATTGATAGATGGCTTCAGCAGCTAAAGATTCTCATTTCGAGAGCAACCCCATATGAAAACTTTAACTCATAGTTTACTCATGTGTAATTTATTAATTAGGGTATTAATTAAAGTCAACATAAGTCTAAATATTATTATTTTTTCTGTTCCATATTTAATTCATTAATTTTTCAACATTAAAAGTTATTATTTGAAAATTATTAGTTTTTGCCATTAATTACACTTCTCTGAACAATCGAGGAATTGGTGGAGTAAGAAGACTTTTTCTATAATTATAACAAACATTTAAAAATGTTCATAAAATTTCAAAACTTCTGTATCTTAATAAAAGGGTTTCATGATTGATTAAGAGAAAAACTCTTAATATTTACAGATACATTTTTAATATATTTTATACTAGTTTTGTTCATATGTCTCCATTTATTTGACTTTTCTTGATCTTAATATAACATTTTTATATCTTTTTATAAAAATTACTTCACCGAAAATCAAATAATTTTGTTTTTAATGACATATGCATGCATATTAATATACAAAAATCGAAATAAAACATACAATTTGAATTGGTAAGACTTTAACCTTTTAACAGAAAAAAATATAAATAATACTTACATAGATTTATACTTACATCGTTGTGTTATGGCATCATAGAAAATGATATAATTATAAAATAACTTTTTGTACTTTCTTCAACTAGAAAAATGATAAATTTTAGTATTGAACTTGTGGTGAGTTTTTGAAATAACTTTGGGGTAATATTAGAATGTAGTTAATAAACATTGTGTTAATTAGTTCAAAATGCATCAGAATGTTCGTGAATAGAGTAAAAGTGTTCAATTAATTAATTAGAATATCAAAGGATGCGTGGAAGTTAAGTATTAGTACTGAAGGTAATTAATGCAAGTATATTAACATAATTTATTAGCTGTGATAAAAATAAATCTTAAATATATATATATATATTTCTTGTATATATAAAATTTGCACAAACAAAAATAAATTGAAGAAAACAAACTAAATAAAAAAAAATATGCACAAAATCATCTTTTCATGAAATAAATGCGTGGTCTCATTGCCCCTACAACATTCTTGCGCCCATCAATCAACAATTAGAGAAAATTAAAAAAAAAAACAAATAATAATTATAAAGCACGTTCAAGAGATCATATGCCATTTTCATACCACATGCACAATTAGTTTTTGCTTGCGTTTTTTTCTTCTTTCATTTGCATGTAGCTCTTTAATAACGTTTCCATCCGTGACAAGAATGACTAGTACGCTTAGAGACGGTGATTTCAAACATCTCCCTCGTTTCCAAAAATGTTAGGAAACGCTGGAAGATGCCAATTATCTTATTTTTTCAACTGATTTTCTGCAAATATTTCCATCCGTGTGTACATATATTCATACAAAATAAAATAAAACAAACATAATTTGTACCTACTGAAAATACGATTAATTAAATTAAATAATTAGAAAAGAACAAACAAATACAAGAAAGACAAGAAGACTCATTCATTCGCATTTCGTTTCACTTTATTGTATGTTTCTATTCATTTAGTTGTTGTTCCTTGTTAAATATAAAATTGAGTGGCGCTTTTTTTTTTGTTGTCTACTACTTAAACATAATCGGATCTGTTTTTGGACCCAAAGCTCGTCCTGCCTTCTTTCCGCCAAATTCATTTCTTTTTTTTTGTCTTTTAATATTAATTCATATATAAAAAACACGAAAAGAAAATCATTAACGACATAAGCTAACTATATAATACGTTATTATATATTTGTTTTATTCAAGTATATATCGTAATATAATTGCGGCTCTTAATTAAATTTTATTTAATGATTTTTTTTTCTTCTTAAACCATAATTTATTTGAACACACAATTAGTCCAAAGAAAAAAAACAACACATCACTAATATCTTATATAAAGCACTGAATTTCATTCAATTCTAGCAAGAAAATTTGTTTTTTTTTTCAAGTTATCACAATTTAAACATGCAAAATCGAAGACCTGTGATGTACGCATTCAAAACGAACAAAATGTTTGTAGAAGAAATTGAAGCGGTTAACAAAAAAAAATGGCGTTTTTAAAATTTGTGCAGAATGGAGAAATTTGTGTGTGTTTCTTAATTATTTTTTGTTTAATGTAACGAGGGAAGAGGAGGAGATGAACAGAGTATTTATTGTATTTTTTTCCGAACGCTTTGCATGTAGAAATTAGTGTGCACCAATATATATTTTTTTTCCATCCAAGAAAGTCATCACTTTTCACTCGAAGAATATGCATATCATACATTATATAAATTATAAATTAAATAAGAGTTAAAAAATATATGCGTGTATTACAAAAAAAAATAGAAACAAAAAGAGAACAAATAGAGGAAAATTGAAACGACGAGAGAACAATAAAATTGTTTTATTGCGTTTCTCTTGTCGTTCAATTTTCGTAGGCACTACCTAGGATCGCTGCTGCTCAGAATCAAGATTCAGTGGAAAAAAACACAATAGAACAGAAGAATCACCACCGCCAAAAGTCGAAATGAAACACCAAATAATAATAATCGTAGTAATAATTAAAGAAAAAAACAGTTATTGAAGCCTGAGGCTGCGTTAAGATAAAGAGAAACAACAGAAAGTAACAAATACAAAAAAAATCTCTTTACAAACGTCCTTTCTTGTTATTTTCTTGTTTAAATTGCATCAACCATGTCGTTCTTATATTCCAGACCAAATAATCATTGTTTTCCGAAGGCGTTACATGATCCATGTAATTGCATCTAAGCTAAGTTAATCGCAGTATTGTTACAGCCACTGAACAGAGAACGAACGTGAAAATCATAATGAAACTTGGAAACGAACAAGTATATATTAAATATATATATTAAGTTAATAATAACAAAATATTTAGTCTGAAATACAAAAATCTCAATATATATGTATATAATTTCTTTCATTAAATATATATTTGTTTATATATATATAATCCATCCTCTACAACACGTCCAACAGTATTTTACCTTCATTTATTAGTTTTTTTTTTTCATTATTTATTATCCTTTTTCCTTTTCATTAATAATCCTTAGGATGTCTGTACAAATAAAGCTAAAATATAATATAATAATTTTTTTTTTGTTTAATTATTTTCGCATTTTTCATTATTTAATATATTATATATATATAGTTAAGACCAATTACAGTCCATTGTCACGAAAAGTGCAAGAAATACCCGCTGCGCTCGTAATATTCATCGTTCGTCAAAAAGAAAACAGAAACAAAAAAAAATAATAATTATGACTAAAATCTAAGAGAAAAAAAAACGGTGAGTCGCTGGCAGTCTCGATGGAGGTGATGATGTAATTGTAATTATACTTTTTTTTTTGTTTGCTTCTTGTTTCGATTACGAAGGCAGTGTCTGAAAACAGAGGAAAAGATTTGTTAACTACAATCATTTGATAACAATTGGAATGTTAGTAACTTCATTGATGAACAACCTATTTGTATATATATTAAACTTTCAATATTAAACAAATTTAATTCTTGATACTGAATCAGTATAGAAAAATAAACAATTTTCAACAAAATATACGTTAGTCACATATTCTTGAAATGTCCAATTCTGTTATTCAAATGCATATTGCAATAATTACCTATGCTTCGCGGATTTTCTTTTCCTTTTTCTTCTTCAAGAAGGAAGGAGTCCTGAGGCCCTTCTTCTTCTTCTTGTCCTTCTTTGGAGACCCTTCAGACACAGAGCGATCCTACAAAATGAAGGAAACAACATGAATGTAAATCGTTTTTTTTTTAAGATTTGAACAAATTTAGATTTACCTCTCTGCTACTCTGTGACAATGTACTCATGTGAGCGTCTGATTGGTCGCCATTGACGGTGTGTTCACCTATAAAATACACCAATTAGATAACGCTCTCAGAATGTGTGGAAGAAAATTATAAAAAATAAATAAATGAAAATTAGAAATTTGTTGCCTCAATAAGTATTAATTATAAAACTTTCATTTAAGATATTAAAGTTATTAAAATGTGTTCAGTTAATTGATAATTAGTATTAAAGCAACAAATTGGATGAATAAAACAAAAATAAATACCTGGGGTTAGAATTGTGATAAATTAAAAAAATAACGTAAACGTGTGCGATTTGATACAACCATGAACCATAACAAAAACATTCCACCATATCCAAACAATAAATCAAAACCATTAACAAACATATCACCAAATACCTATTTCCTATTTTTATTATTATATATATATTTTAAGTATAAGCACAAACACAAACGTAAAAAAAAAATAGAAAATCAACAGAAAATTAGACTCAAAATTAAAATTTAGCTTTCTCGTAACCCATCCAATTGCCCTCGTTAGAATCATCAACATCATCATCGCATTCTTTATCGTTAGACTTGCTGAAACTGATGTTGCTGCTGGTTACGTAAGAGCTACAATTTACGGTGTTCGATCTGAAGAATTGCACTTCGTTCACGACGATCGTGTTAACCTCTGGTCGCTCGAAACAAACGTATTCTCCTTGCGATCCATAAACGTTAACCAATTCAAAATCTTCATCGTCGAGAGCCCTAATACTACTGTCAGGACTTTTCTTAGATGATTCTGGTACATCTTCAAAATCAAAAATTAGCTTCTTTCTAGCTTCTTCGGGAATAGGAGACAACTGTTCACGTTCCACCAATTCTTCAGGCGGACGCAACGGCAGATCGTCGACGTTAAGCAGAGGTTTTTTTATTACATCCAACAGAGATTCTGATCTCCTATCCGGCGACTTTCCAATGGAAAACCAATAAAACTCGTTACCAGACGAGACCTGCTTCAATCTGAACTGCGTTACTTCATCATCCGCAGTTGTTTCAGTGCTAAAGACGATCGGACTATTTAACGGAGAGTTTAATAATGAGAAGAAATAATTCAATAGCTCCGTGAGGAATTCGTGAATACTGAAGAGCTGCTTCTCCGGTAGCTCTGGAAGTCTGTGGATAACACTATCGGCTATGTGCAATCGCAGCTCGTTCTTCTCCTCGCCGGTGAAGCTATGCACAAAATACTCGCGGTATAAAACCTCCAATTTGCGTAGAAGCCTTTGGACCTTCTCATCCGTCTTTATTTCTGGGAATAGTAGATAATCATCAAGATGAATGCAACTGTGAACTATGTAATCCACAACCAAGTTCGTCATCTGCTCCACGAATTCGGATAAAGATGACGTCGTATCATCTTCAATCACATTTTCTTCCTCTTTGGAACTCTCCGTTATTCCGGTTTTAAACAATTGATAGTCAACATTATCCTCTACATCCTTGTCACATTTTGTTATAATTGATTCGTCTTTTTCCAGATCCAAAACCAAATTATTATCGACATTAGTTTTAATTGATTGATCAATTTCATTGGCAGCGGTCTTCTTCTGATGTTTACTTTTTCGATTCCTTCTTCGCTTCTTAATTGATTTCACTTGTTGCGACATTTCCGCTTTCGGAATCTCTTCATTTCCATTTTCTACAATAGTTTCATTATCTTCGTTTGACTTTGGACATGTTTGTAGTAAATTTATTTGATCAATTTCCTCAATATCTACTGCATTGTCACAATCTTTATTAGTAACATTCTCAAATTCTTCATTGGTAGAAATACTATCAGGAATTTCATCATATTGACAATCACTTGATTCAGTATGTACAAATTCGCTGAATTCACACGAATAAGTCAAATTAGCTTTATCTGGATTATTATCTTCCATTTGATTGTAATCTTCTACAGTAATTACATCATCATCAGAATGAAAGTTCGCCGATTCGTAGCATACTTCAATAGATATTTCATTATTCTCATCAGTTACAGCAATGCCAGATTCTTGATCAGAAAAATTTTCCGCCACATTTTCGCTTTCATTCTTTATTTTACTCACAGATGTGTAAACATCTTCAGAGGAATTCTTAGTTTCATTAAAATCATTGAAGGAATTGCATTTTGCTTGTTCAATTTCCACTTCTTTATGTATATTTTTTTGTTCATCATTTGATGTGGATATTTCTGAAGTTGTTTCTAAATGTTTTGCTATAGCATCTGAAGTGGCAGTAACAAATTCATCGCTGGACAATAATACATCAACTTCTTGTACTTCGGCCTCTGTATTTAAAGATCTTGCTGGTAGTTCATCCTTTGCAGATTTAAAACTACTTTCGTTGAGACTGATACTGCGAGTGATTCGGTCAAAGACACTCTTGTAAGATTCGTTATTCGATTGGTCGGAATCAAGATTCAATGGTGGAACGATACAACAACTAACGTCTTCCTCGTTGAAATCATTAATATCGTCCTGCTCGATGTACATGCTATGACCATCGTAATTCTCACTGCTATTGCTGTTCGACGTGTAGATAGCATCAGAAATGAAATCATCGTTGATGCTTTCGTAAGTCGATTTATCGCAGGAATTATGGTTATTCTGTGTTTCCACTTTACTTTGATAATCTAAATAGTTTTCGCCGTATTCTGTGGAGCTGGGAGTAGTAGAATCATTGCTACCGTAATTGTATGAAGTGTCGAGCATGTCTCTAACGAGATTCTTCTGCAGATTGTTCAATATTCCTCTTTCAAAGCTACCTATAGTATTCGACGTCTGATCATAGTGCAACGGAGTGTAGGTTTGATTCACGTAAGCAGTTTGCGAAGCTTGCGAGCTCAGGTTATAATTAAGTGCGTGAGCGAAGGGTTGAAAGAAAGCTTTGAGGACGTCGAATTGGATATCGATGACGGTCATTGGAGCTCCGTTATTAACGATGTTAACGGTAACGGTATGTGGGATAGGAGTTTTCAGTTTGACGAGAGCGGGACGCTGAGGGATGGCCACCTGTGTTTGATGCACAATGTGGAAATGCTTCGGATTGGGAATTGCGTAAGAGCCTTTCGGGAAACCTGCATAGCTGTTCGTGCGATAGCGCGTTTCGGTGTTCCTTGTTGCCTTAGCAGCCACCACCTCCAGTCTTACCATTTTTCTTCCTGCAATGACGAACAGAAAGAGGGTTAATTCAGTTATAGGAAAAGAGAATATTAATTGCATGGGTACTGATTCTGAAAATTGTTTGTTTCCACCACCAAATTGTAAGTACAAGCGTAGTATACACCTCATCAAAGCTAATAATGAACTCTTGTAGCACGGAAACACTTACTTTTCATGCTGTTCGAATTTCTACTCTGAACAACTGGTGGTTTTCTGAGAGAAACGTCTTTATCATGCAAACAAAAAGAAGAAATATAACGTGCTGGGCATGCATTCGTCGGCATTTCCTGAATGATTAATTAACGAACGTTCCAAATCTACTTCGGTTAATCAAGAGACTTAATTAATTTAAATTGATGAGGTTAGAGTACTCGAAATGAGGATATGGTTCATGAATGATTGGCTAGTGTCGACCTCTAACAGTTCAAACTCTCTTGAAATGAGAATGAGTCTGCAGAAGATGACCACTTACCCTTGCATCACTTTCGTATTATATAAACTGAGCAAGAGCAAGAAAACAATTCATTATTCTTAGCATAAAGTTAATTAACTTAACAAAAAAAAATAGACTATTCTACGATTTTGTTCGCAGCGGAAGCTTTGTAGGAAGCTTTCGATGAACTTACCGTCGCTCAAGACAACCTCGGGCTGGCTAGGTTTCGGCGCTTGTTTAGTTTCTATCCTTAATACTTGAGGTTCTGAAACATTAATAGAAATATAAAAATAAGTGGTTGCAGGTTTTAGTTTTGATTCTTCAAGAATTACCTCCTCTGCTCTCCTCCTCAGTTTCGCTTGCAGCAGATGTAGGAGATCTAATGTCGCTAATTCGTTTATTAATTTGCGCTGAAGACAATCCTTCGGACTCGCTATAATCCGTGTCGTCAACTATAAAGAGATTAATTTATGAGTGAGTGGTAATAACAGGTTATCGATTAATAAGCGTACGGCTTGCGCAATGAGATAATCCTCGATTGATAGGCAACTCATAGTGTTCGTTGATATATTTTTTTACAATACTTACATTCGCCTTTTTCTTTCTTGTTGACGATCTTCTTGTAGTTTTCGATGTCTTCGTCGGTGATCGAATCGAAGGGATTCTTGGCGTACGGCGATTTGTACATGGTCGCGTTGTGCTGGTATCCACGTTGGATGATACCCTTGGAGGCGGCGCCCATCAGGACCACCTGGTCCCCGGTCTGAGTCACACCGGCATCCTGCATCTTCTTCGCCTCCTCCCACGTAACGCCTTCAAGGATATGCGACTGGGGCCCGGCCGAAATCTTGTCGGCGCGTCTGTAGTCCTTGATCTAAAATACACGGATATCATGAAGATGACCGATGGAAGATCCCAACCACCGAAGGTGGCACGCGTTTACCTGCTGCTGGAGCTTTTTGAATTCTTTCGGGTTGGTGTTCTTCGGCACGAATTGAAGGGCCGAATCGATTTTGACCGGGGTGCTTGAGTGCGTCGGAGACCCATCGGCGACCCACTGGAAAAGCAAAAAACCGGCACATTAGAGAGGACTAGCGACAAACTTCTTTGTTTTCACGAAGAGGGGGTGGGAAAGAGGCTGTACGAGACGCAATGCAGGACACCAACAAGATTTATTTTATGATGCGTTGAGGAGAATAGAGAAAAAGAGTTGTAAATAGATATTGAGAGCAAAGATTAAGGCAGAAAAGGGGGACCCATAGCCACAACATACTTGTGTGCCTGCGTAATATTGTGAAATATGTCGCTGGGTCTCTAATGTACTGGGTTTTTGCCACCGACACGACCATCATAGACACACGACAGTTACCACAAATCACGGGCACACTCCAATTGTCATCAATTCATAATCATGGAGACATACAAATTTCTAAATATAACCGCAGAACTAGTTAAAAATCTTTTACTTGCATATACTTCCAAATCCACAAGATACTATTGAACTTACTTAAACTGCAGTTCCATACAAAAAACATAAATTATTGAAATATAATAACCATCCACCAAAACCTAAATTTAAACAAACATTCACAAATATTCATAATAATTATTTTTATTATTTGCAAACATTTTCATAAGGTGTCAAAATGTTAACAAATAATAACTTTCAGTTCATCGACTCAACCGATTATCAAGAAACATACAGTAAAAATATTTTTAATATTTATCGTGCATTGAAATATTTACTATACTTTTGCGTGTTTAGTGAATGGATATTTCTACAAACTTATATGGAACTAACAGTTACAAATACCTAAGTGCCAATAATAAAATTGGAGCTGAACTAGCTATAAAATTTGTGTTGTTAGCATTTAAAACTGCTGCTAATAATAATTCAATATTACATATTTAACAGTTTACAAGATATATCAAAATAAACATATTCCTAATTATTTATAACATTATTTGTATGTAATTAACGATGAACAAAAAATACAGAATCTTTCTTTCACAAATATAAACCTGTAAATTTGTTTCAAATTAGATATCCTTGAAATATTGATGATAAAAATGGAACGTTATTTCAGGAAACCAATAAAAAAAAATACTTAATGTTGTAATGTAATCTATTTTTATATAAATAAAAAGTAGTTGAATTTACAAAGAAAATGCTTTTTTTAATTTCTATGTAAAAAATAGTTGAAGTGAATTAGATCAAGTGAGTTTTTTGAAGTGAAATGCATATTTTCAAGTAAAAGATTTTCGACGAATAAATGGTTTCTAGAAATGTACATGAACTTAAAAAAGTAATAATAAAATAATAGAAGAAAACAACACACACACACAACACTTTGATGTTAATGAAAAAAAAACATTAGTGAATTAATAAAGACACCAAAAGACGTTTAGAATCTTATATTTATTAATCTTCTCAATATAGACGAGTCATATATAGTGGTTATTATTATATGTTGCATAAAGCGAGTAAAACTAAAAGTCACTTATCATCATCAACCATAAAGCGCAAAATCTCCAGAAACGTAAGGCAAATCAATAAAGAACATAAAAAATAATAATGAAAATAAAAATATAACAAAGATGACATAAAATTATCAACCTTTATCAAAATGCATGTAATATATCTGGTACACATTATATCCATCGGAATTGTTATACTATATTTTTTTAGTGCGGGTAATATTTGTTGTTTCATAATTAATTTAGAACATTACGCATACGGAATGTAGATGCAAAGCAATCGACAAACGTAATACAAAAACATGCCATTGGATTAACCCTTCAGTTTCCATATGTTGAAGTGTAGGAAATCGTAGGGTAATCCAAAAGAAATGTCGAACATAAATATGGCTATATCATCATCATCTTAAGACTAAACACATATTACATGGATAACCTTAACTAAGGGGAGCCCCCCGATACCAGGAAAGGGGATGTTCGTCCACTTTACAACTACAGCATTAATATGAAAGGTCGACTCGGAGGAGTCGCACCTGGAAACATTTTTCAAACGAACATCATAAATATATCATTAAACGAATACTTATGAATTAAACATTTCCTGCTCCTAGGTGAACAGTGCGGAAGCCTAATTCAAAAAGAACCGCACCATTGTACATCGGCGGTTCGACATCGACCTTTGAAGCGATTTATATATGATTACATCCTAATGTCCAATATAATAGTAAACTTATGCAACACTTATGCCTTTCATTTCTGCTTAATCAATAACATATAACTACTGCTAAGTCGAATCATCTGCGATAATTCTATCATTGAGTCAATTGGTTTACGTTTCTTCCTTTGAGCAGAGTCCGCTACAAAGGTTGCAAGAATACATCAAATAATGAAAACCTTAAACCCTAAATATTTAAAAGTAGTAGTGATAATATTATATTTAGATAGTAACATATATCTTTGCCCAGGATAAATGTTGTAATCCTGTTTTGCTTGAATCTCGCTTTTTTTTTGCGGAAGCAAGTATTCTTTGTAGTTATTAAATTTTGAAATAAACCTTTTTTGTTTTAGTTTTTTATATCTACCAAAAACCGCACTTCTTCATGTGCCACAAAAATGCCATCGGGAGGTTCGTCGTGTTCGATGAGAACAAAGCGCTAACATCGAACGAGGAAGGGCACAATCTTAAGGTTCCGATTTCAAGGATGCTCCTTCTTCGCTCTAGTCGCCTACTCTGTTCCTTTCTGTGGGGTCAACTCTCAACGACGAAAGGCCCATGACGCGACTCACGAAAAGGCGCAGTTGAAGTCCAATATATATTCATCATAAGATGATGCCTTAATTCTAACACACTCACTTAAGCCTTAACAATTTGAAACGTCTTCCTTTTACCAGGCAGAGTTCCGAAGCGCAAGATTCTTCGGAACTGTCCTTGCTTGCTGTTCGTTTATCTATCATTACCTTGTTAGATATTAGATGATCTTAAATGTAATTTAATATCAAAATGGCACTCGAGCGAAAATTAGGATCTCCTCTTCATGTATATACGGACATGTCTCCGGTCGGATGTTCACACATTTGTCGGATAGTTTGATGGTAATATGGCTTCGGTACTCCAGGGACGATGTTCGAAAAGGCATATTCATATATAGATTTCCTTAAGGAGCTTCCGTGATTTTCGTTTATGGCATTTAGATTTGTAATCATTTTTAAAGCTAGATATAATATTTAAAATCCACTTCAAAGCATCGTATTGTAATATTTCTAAGAATGTAGTTATATATGTAGTTAGTGCTTTTGAGTCAAGAGAAATATAAATGTCATTTTTGTACATAATATATAATTTATATAAAGAAAATAAAGCTTAACCTAGATATATATATATAAACTTACCTACACAATAGATCATTCAAAAGTAACATCACATTCTAATCATAAACAAGTATATGTTCATCTGCCCAGAAAAAGTGGCGAAAATTCGTTGCATTTAGAATATAGATTTTATTAATTCATCGGATTTGTTCATATATTGATCGTGAACTTGCATTCAATATTCAGCACTTCCTCTGGCAAACAATATCTTCATTACAAAGAAAACATATAGATCATACTATTAGTTTAGGTCACCAAATTGTTATGTCATCGATAATTTCATTCCCAAAACCGAAAGTTATTAATTTTATTATTAAGATGTGACGCTATTTTAGTATGAAACATATGTGTGAAGCATTAAAAATTATAATAAATATAAAAACCACCCACTTCATAACCTGCGATGTCATTTGGTGGGGGGTAGTTATCTCTTCCGTTTCCTCAACATAATTTATGGAATCATAGAATATAGGAATGTTATACAAAATACAACGTCTACCCAAGCAAAAGTAGATAATAAATGCTGATGAATCTGCGTTTGATTCTGTAGATAAATTCGAACGCAGATCCGAATCATCAATTACACTAAAGAAACAAACGAAAGGGGATAACTAAACAAAAAAAAAAGGTGTAGGAAATTAATATTTGCATTAAGCACTATTCTAAACGTCACTAAAAACTATGGATTTGTATACGATTCAGTGACTCTCAAATTTTAAAAAGCGATGTTTCTCTTTTATCTTTGATTAAAATACGTTATCTCCTAATTAGCATAATGTTATATGTAAGATTAATTATATAATTTATATTGAATTAATTAGATTCGGATTTATCCTCAAATTTAATGATCTCTACCTTTGTAATCTTTTTCGGGTCCGGAGTTCCCGTTTCCAAAATTTCCACTTTTTGGTAAACGTTTGGCGAGTTAAGCCAGCGTGACCGATCGTTTCCTTTGCGGCCTCCTTCCAGTTTTTTCCATAATCTGCGAACAATTCCAATATAAGAGATGTTATAAATTTGAGTTAATTGTTGATAGGTTTCAGTATCATTACCCTTGCTTGTACAGTTCTTCCTCTTCCAGGAGGTATCCAAGCGATGAAACGGCTGGGGGTACTTCGACGTCGTTCCTGGGTCTAGGAGGATCTCCCTTAACCAATGGGTGCCTGTAGATATATCCGGTACGGAATCCAGCGTTGTCCAGCATCCTCATCAGAGCTTCGAACTCTACGCCTCCGACGCGCCACTTCCGCTCGACTTTGCCATCCAAGATGGTCGGCTGGTCCGGGCGTGGGCTGCTCTCTGGTGCTTTACGTGCGGCTTCGTACATCCTCTTGCGCATCTCGTCTGTTAGTACAACCAGGTTATCGATGCCAACAGGCATGAGCTTCAGCTGGGATTCCGATGCTAGGACGGTGTTGCGGGCGTTGAAGAAAGCTTCTTCGATTGTCTCACCGCAGCAAACGGCTCCTTGATTGGTCAAGAGGAGCACCTTGCTGTTGGGTCCCAGGTTGCGGGCGATCAGGTCTTTCTCCTCGGGATCGTTGATTGCTCCCATGTAGGGATGCGTGCTAACATCGCCTATCACTACGGACTCCTGACTGATGGGCAATAGGCCGCATTTCAGTGCAGAAATCGCAACTACGGACGGCGTGTGGACGTGGATGATACATTTGATATCCGGCCTCGCTGAATGTATGGCAGTGTGGAGTGAATAAGCGCTCAAATTCACACTGAAATTGGTCGTCCCCTGTTCGACAACGTTACCCTGCATGTCGGCCTTGATCAGGCTCGAGGCAGTGATCTCATGGAAGAGCATTCCATACGGATTCACCAAGAAATGCTCCTCGTCCTGATTCAGTCTGGCCGTAATCAGTGTCAGGCCCTGCGTCCATCCGTACAGATCGATAAGCCTGTAGACGGCGGCAAGCTTGCAGCGCAAGATTTTCTCGCCCTTAGCATAACCCATCGCCTCTATACCCCTGATATCGTTTATGGGAACGACGCAGTTGGAATTCTTGAACACGTTTCCGGCGTTCTTTGAGACGCCCATCATGTCGGAGATCTGCTGCATGAGGCCGGTCGTTCCTGATCCGTCCCTCAGCTGTACCTCGATTATCCTCTCCAACTCCTCCTTGAACAATCTGCTGTTCATAATGCACTCCACACGTTTCCTTCTCTCCATCTCCTTCACGTCGGCATCGATGTCAGCTGGACGCATTTTGCTGCGCTCGTCATCCTCCAGACCATCAGATGAGATCCCGTTCGTCTGGGGCGGTAACTCAGATTGACTGGTATCCGCCATACTTAGGTACTATTTCTGGAACAAATAAAAAAAAATAGCATAAACGTAACGAACAAGGCTATTCATTAATAAATTGATATAAAACGGTGTCGCGGGTCACGATAATAAAAAATTCGGCAACGGCTCGTAGGCGCAATTGAATAACTCAATCTAAATTGGCTATGATGTAACGCCTTAAATCACCAGCTCTCCGGAGACGTTTCTCAACAACAACGAAAACAAAACAACATTTCTTAAAGTGTAAATGAAGAGATTTCAAATGCACATCCACTCAACTGTTCCGTTCTCTAGTGAATTTCACTTCTTAATTAATTAACAGAGACGAAATTGTTTCCGCGAAATGAAGACAGAGAAGACAGCAATTAAAATTCATTGGGCAATGACCATACGCTTCTGGAGGCATCGCATATTTTTGTTTGTTTGTGTCGAGGCGGAAACGGGGAACGGTTTTTCAAGTCAAGTCATATAATCGCTTCTTGACAACGGCAATGCAGACATCACACACTCGACAAAGCCTTCCTCTTCTTCTTCCTCTTGTGCGTTTGTGTCAATGCCCTTAAAAGCATTCTCAACATCAATTTATATCAATATACTTTTGTAGTATACATGGAAGAGGTGGCTATTCTTTCTTTCAAATTATTACCGGTAGCGCCATTTTGAAAATTAATATCGACCATTTTTTTAAATACAAATTATACATTGATATTTTATAATTATTTATTATTTCATGATTAAATTTAAGCTACATTCAAAGCAACAGTTTATAGTTTAACAAACATAGGGTACCACACCCTTAAAGTTTCAAATTCATCACTAAATATAGCAATAAATAATGATGTATATGTAATCAGAATTATTGTTAATATGGAAATTTCATCGATGAAGTAATAAATAAAAGTTTTCTTTTTCACTTAAAATTAAACTCATGTCTGCCATTTTGAAAATCAATAACTGGGCGACACCCTTATGTATTTAATAGAAGAATCTATCTTATAATTAAGAAATGATTCAAGACATTTGGATCTTATGTTTGGCATTTATCATTATTTGATTTTGTTTTAAACATACTTTCATGCAATTTCTTTTTGTACTAAAGTAAATTACAAACATGCTAATAAACATTTAATGGTACTTCTCAAGAGTCGTATTGAAAGCAATATGTTTGGAAGTATGTAATAAATGAGTGTGAAATAATGAAAACCATGTACTGATTATATTAGTAATGATGTGCAAAAGTTACCAGATGCGGCATCTTCTCGCTCTTCTCAAGAATCAAAGAATCCGAAGACCATCTGAACGATGTGAAGGGGGACCCACGGTGGGGCCCCCCATCGCCGAGGCCGTTACCGACTTCTCTTGGTGATTACATCCGGTATAATATTTAATGCGGATCAATCGGAAAATCTGATCCTCTCAATGGAGGATGCGGCTGGGAAATGGGGCAGACAGCTCCAGCCAGGATCGACGCCGGCGTCCTAAATTTGTCGATACGCGTCGCCCGGGCTGGCTGCAACTTTCGCCGGCGCCGTTGTTTTATCGATCCAGGAACAGGACATGTGTTGCATCAGCTTCCCGCGCCCAGGCCCTCTTGACCCTGTTCCCTTCTTTTTTCTCTCTCTATGCACAAACCCTTCCTCCTTCAAACCACCAACGACCCGGTAGCATTGGAACAAAGACTTTTGCTTTCTCATCAACTACCACTTTCTTTCTGCGCGCTTATCTTAAAGATGCATTTGCATTTCTCAAAAGGATCCGTTCAGAAGCAAGTGGTCTTCAAATATTAATGGATGACGGTCATATTCCGTGATATACCAGTAATGAGTTACTTATTTTTAGAGTGCTTATCAAAATATAGAGACCAGATTCTTCAAAACTGTAGACCCGATTGATTTCTAATAAGATTAATTTTCTAACCCACCAGATGCTTCATAACCCATCAACAATACTCTTCATCTCCGCTTTGTTTAGGCACGAGGATGAATTTACACTTCTCATTCAAATGGAACAAAGAGGACTTCAAATGTAAATGCATAACGTTACTCCTATACTCTTATATAATTCAATACCAAATCTGGTATGTTCGTAAAATTGTACAAAATTAACAAGATCACATACTTAATAGTGACATAAAAAAAACTTTACTATATTGAGCGAGTAGCAATTAGTTGTCTAATAAGTAGTAAGTACCACTTAGAATACTGCTAATAGAATAAGAACCATAACTCATCACGTAATTAAATATTTACTTTTGCAATGGTCAATAAACTAAATATAAATATCATAAACGAAAGCTTTAATTCACTAATAATCTGTGTTAAGTTACTTGATTTATAATTAATATTTCAAAAGATTAAAACCAGTTACGAATTGATTTCAAATTCTTGAAATAACACTAAGAGACATACGCCGGTAATCCTCGAACGTAATAAGACACTCTCTTGTCCGTTCCCTTGAGGCTTAAAGCTAATATATCAAATTTCCACAGAAATTTCCGATCAATATTAAACCAACTGTGAGAAGACAGAAACGGCTCAGCTCAATATGGGATCTATCAATATTGGAACAGGTAACGTAATTTAATTGATGAAATTACGTTTACCCAACTGGAACAAGGATCAATTCGCAAATGGATTCACGGAGCGGTCTTTATTGATGAAGCTCCTCAGCTAATTCAATCAATTAAAGACCCTTTCTGAAAACCAAAATGTATTAGTGCTAAGACGCAAGGATCCTTCAAAGGGTGTCGCTTTATCAATTTAGTATCCATGGGTGGAGTATTAGAGTGGTTTTGCTTATGTACAAAATTGCTGCATTGCTATTAACTTTTTTTTTCTGATATGAATTTCTGATATGAACATTGTTGCAAAGCATGTTTTGTATTGATTCGATTTTTTGTTACATTTACGTACATAAAAACTGCGAATGTAGGCTAGAATGGTGCCAGTTTGGGGGACGAAGTATTGATCAGCGACGAAACGGGAAAAACAAGGGTATTTCATGGATATTTCCATTCCGCCATAAATGCGAATGTGCGACAGGATTTGAAACGGGACAGCTTGATTTGCGACCGCCTACCTAAGCACCTAGAGGTCTCCCAAATAAAGGATAATGTTACATTCACTTTTAGTATTCCAATTTATATAATGCTTTCTTTACTTCAAACAATAACTTTTGCAATCCTACACCGAGCATTATTTTCAAGTTTCCACAATTCATGCATATTAAATTTACATATCACTTTATGAATGATTCAATAGCAACAATCTATTAGTACTTGCACTACTTTGACCTTCAAGAAATTGACTGATAACTAATAACTAACAAAAGATGGAAATTTTCAGAAACAACAACATATTACTGTGATTACAAAACGAAGTACAGCTAACCCATTTTCACTCGTTCATAATTGATTTAATTGTTCTCGAATCGAGTAAATAATGATGTAAAATGCACGTAATTAGGTGCATGCTAATGACATAGTGTCGGTCCCATTTTGAGGCTCGCAGCCGGCTTGTTACGCAATGGCCGGAGGGGTAATAAAATGTTAATGTCCGACGTGCGAATGCCGTTCGGTTTCTTTTGTGATTCGTGGATGGACGATGGGTGGCGGGGAGGCGTCGCGACGTCGTCGACGCCGACTGAGGTCGTCGACTTTGGTATATAACTCGCTTAAACGCCAACCAGCTAATCGATTCCGATTCGTAACACACATGCAACGTACAATAGCGATAGGAGAGGTTAGAATAAGAGAGTTTCAAATAGGATAGGATGGAATCGACGCACATCCTGCATCTATTTTTACATTTGCAAAACATTCCCTCTCACACTGAAAACATCAAAGCAATCCAAAGAAAATCTGCTTACAAATTATCTTACATAGATAGGATTTATACCTAAGTTACAACAATAGCCACAGTTTATGCCTTATATGGTTTCATTAGTATTATTCAATTCATATATTCCCTAATCACAATAATTCCAATTCGATAGTGACAAAATCCACCATATCAATTATCTATCTATTACCATACATTAAGCTGTCACAGCATTCCTCGCCAGAAATAGCCAATCCACGCTAAACGGTCAACCTTAACCCAAATTGTGCAGAATCTCACTTAGATTTTCCTCATCCTCCTTCCTACTGCTCTCTTTTATTAATCACCATTAATAAGTTTAATCTGACATCTCAAGGTTCAAAGATTACATAACGCGTTACAGAGAATTGCTATTCTTGAAGATTACATCCCAGCAGTGATTTTGAATGAGTGAATCATTCATTTGTCAGATTAAAGCCGTAGGTCGACTTCTGTGATACAATAAATTATGTAGCAAATCAATGATCTTCAAAGCTACAAATATAGGGGAAGAAATTCATAATTATGTAATTAATCACGTTATCACAATTGAAGACTATATTTCTCGTTAAATAAATTTCATCAATTAATATTCATATGGTATAAGTTGTAAAAGATCCGATTTTTTAAGAATACTTCTTGGTTTCAAAGATTCTCAACTTGAATTTTCAAAATGCATCAGACTATTTTATATCTACATATGAAGAAATAGCAAGTAACGCTATGACCTTATACACAGATTTAAAAAGTGATGCATTTATTCCTTGCAGACTCTGAATTACCATATTAAAAATATTAAAGACACCAACGTGATAATCAAGGTTAAAGAAGAAATAAATCTCTAAAGACGAAGATAAAATCTTCATTTTTCATTCTCTTCGGAGCTCATACATATTTTTGAACAATCGAAATCTTAATACTTAAATCGCATTGTCATTGGTTAAATAAACAAAATGCCAACATTTTAAATCGACACATAGAAATGTATCTCAAGTTACAATAATATACATATTCTTTTGGAGCTACAAGTAAAAGTTCTTTATTAAGACTTGTTACATCAATTTCTACTGCATAAAATGTAATTTTAAACTTAACACAAAGGTTAAATTAATTTATTATGTATTATATAAAAATGTTGCACGTAATTACTTTGATTAGCTG